TTATCCATGGAGAAAAGATTGAAGTTGTCAAGGACTTCATTCTTCTTGGATCAACTATCAACACTCATGGAAGCAGCAGTCAAGAAATCAAAGGATGTATTGCATTAGGCAAATCTGCTGCACAAGATCTTTTTAAAGTGTTGAAGAGCAAAGATGTCAGTTTGAGGACTAAGGTGCGCCTGACCCAAACCGTGGTATTTTCAGTAACATCATATAGATATGAAAGCTGGACAATGAATAAGGAAGACCGTAGAAGAATTAATGCTTTTGAATTGTGGTGTTGGAGGAGAATATTGAAAGTGCCATGGGCTGCCAAAAGAACCAATAGATCCGTTTTGGAAGAAGTGCAGCCAGAGTGCTTGGAGGCCAAGATAGCCAAACTTCGTCTTTCATACTTTGGATATATTGTCAGGAGGGACCAGTCTTTGGAGAAGGAGATCATGTTTGGTAAGGTGAAGGGTCAGAGAAAAAGAGGAAGACCCCCAACGAGATGGATTGGCCAGGTGTTAGCATCGATGGACTCAAGTATGTCAACAGTAGTGAGGTTGGCCCAGGATCGGGCAGTGTTTCGTTCTGCTGTGCATAAGGTCGCTATGAGTCAGTACCTACTCGATGGCACCTAACAACAACAACAAACTTTTGCTTATGGATGCAAACTCAAAATTCCAACTGGAATGAAAGGATTCTTCATATCAAGGATCAAGTTTGTTTCCTTGGTGTACATTTGGCTATCAAAAATAGTGTTACTATAAGAGTATGAGGACTCCTGGTGTCAAGCTGTAAGGTCAGCACTGGACTTTGAATGACAAGTTCAGCAGTTCAAATCCACTAATGCTCCTCGGAAACCCTATCAGGATTGCTATAAGTTGGAACTAATTCGAAGGCATTTAACAACATAAAAGCATGAAGTGGTTGGTTTGTAAAATTTCATAAGTGTGCCGACTTTCAGACTGAAAGGGGCAAAGTAGAATATCCACTATGTATGTTCCCTCTTCTCCAGATAGATCTGGTGAAAGGGAATGGGGGAATGATGGTGATAGGATTTTGTGACTCAGTTGTCCGTAAATGTTAGCAGGATTGATTGTGATGGTCACAATTGTAGAAGATGTGCAAGTAAAATGTGTAGTTAAAAGGACCTGCAAGCACTTCACTGGGCTCTGCGAGAAGTACACGGCACCATTTCCCACAGATCCAGCACAAAGTTTGTGACCCACGGGTGGGGTAGGTGGGTGGGGTGACCCCACTGGCACTGGCATGGGTAGGGAATTGTTCTGGGGCAAGCCTTTCAATGATAAGTTGTGGCCCAACGTCTCGCACACGTGCAGGGGCTTCCTCAGCATGTCCAATTAAGGACCCAGCAGCAACATGTCTCCATTTTTATCACTTTCCCCTCCTGTGCCTACCTGGACAAGAGCACACAATCTTTAGGCGAGTCATTGGGGACTTCGACACACTGATAACTATGGGGAGCATGGAGAGTGACACCAAAACTGACCTCCCCCCAGAAAGAGATCTGCATTGTGTCCATCACAGTGCTACTAGAACCCTATGAGGAGGCTGACGCTCAGATCTGTGAAGAGCGGAAGATGCAGGTGAAAGAGGTGGCTTTGGAGATGAGCCAGCTTCCGTGGAGAGCCCAGGATCCCAAGCACACCTCCAAGGGATGGACAAGTACATCAACCCTATGACCTCAAAGTAGGTAGCAGAGTAAGAGCCGTCCACCAGCACAGCTGTCCCCACAGCCAAGAAAAGGCCCAGCTGCAGCTTTGGGGACGATCTACATTTTGAAGGCTGCTCTTTGAAAACTGCCTGTTGCATGAATCCCCTCTGCTGAGAATCCTTCAGGCACCAGGAACCCAGTCTTTCCTCTTGAGACCCAGTGTGGAAGGCTGACTGGTTCTCATAAAAGGCAGTGATCCTTACCCAGCTGGGGCATGGGTCAATTTTCAGACTCCCATCCCTTTGTTATCTTACTGCTGTTATTAAGTACCTTCATGTCAGTCCCAACTCATAGCAACCCTGTTTAGAGTTTCCAAGGAGTGACTGGTGAGTTTCTATCGCCAACCTTGTGATCCAGTGCTTATCCTACAGCATCCAATCAGTTCCCAGGCCAGCAGCATCACCTGGGAAGGTGTTCAAAGTACTAATGTCCAGATCTCAGAATTCAGAATATGCTATTTTGTGTGTGTGTGTTTGTGTGTGTGTGTGTGTGGCTGCCTGGCCTCTGTTAGCAGCCCTCAAGGTTTGAAATGGTGTTTTAATTGAGAACCCAGATGAGACTCTTGGTGTGCCTCTCAGAACCTGCATCCACTCCTGCTTTTCTGGCTGGTGCTCCCAGTAGTGATCCAGCATCCACACCGGTCTCCACCGCCCCTCCCCCCCCTTCATTCATACAAAACCAAAAATTAACCACATACACATTTAAAATCAACTCTTGAGTATTTGGGCAAGTTTATTCTAATAAGTTAAGGAGCTCTGGTAGCGTAGTGGTTACGAATCGAGCTGGAAACCGCAAGGTCAGCAGCTCGAAACTACCAGCTGTTCCGCGGGAGAAAGATGAGGCTTTCTGCTCCCGTAAAGATTTACAGCCTCGGAAACCCTGTACAGGGTCGCTATGGGTCAGAACTGACTCAATGGCACTTAACAACACAACATTCTAATAAGTTATGGAGTTTTCCTTAATCTTTCAAGTTGTTTTTAGCAGTAAAGAATGCTCAGTTAGTTAAATCAGCTACTTCTAATTCTCTAAAAAGTCTTTGATATGTTTCCTGGAAGGCAAGAATTAGGCACTTTTGTACCCACAGAGTTCCTTCTATATAAATGCTAAATAAATTGAAAAACCAAACGAAACTTGTCATCTGACTCGTGGCAAAAACTTAAAGAATTGTGACTGAATGAATGGAAGAGGAGGAATCTTTATATTTGGGACAATATCTTATTTATCCTTGAATTGCCAACGCTTTGCAGAAAGCCTATCAATAAATGCTTCTTGATTAAGTTGTAGTGTTGGGTAAGAAGAGGCTGGTTATTTACTCTTGGCATAGGACCCTAGAGAATAAAAGAAATGGAACAAAGGAATGTAAATGGAGTGCTGTCTATAGTGCTTTCGTTGTTGTTAGGTGCCATTGAGTCCCTGCTAACTTATAGTGACCCTATGCACAACAGAACAGAACACTGCCTGGTCCTGCACCATACTCAAAATCACTGCTACGTTTGAGCCCATTGCTACTGCAACTGTGCCAATCCATCCATGGAGATCTCCTCTTTTTCTCCAATTCTCTACTTTATATGCAATACTAGCCCCTTCAAAAGAGTCCTGGTGTGGTGCTGTGGGTTAATGGGCCAGAGTGCAAAGCCATTTAAACTTCAAGGTTGGCAGTTCAAGTTCGCCAGCTGCTCCTTGAAAACCCTATACAGGGTCGCTATGGGTCAGAACTGACTCGACCGCACTTAAGAACAACAGCAGCTTCAAAATTGTTACGTCAGTTAATCATTACACTTTCTAACTGGTTGTCATTTTATAGAAGGGAAAACCTGAATTCTTAAATCTAAGAATCTTGCTCAAGTTCACACGGTTGGTGTCAGAGCCCTAAAATTCTTGGAATGCACTTTGCTTTATTACTGCTGGTTTCTGCAGAGATTCAGGTAAAAGAGAAATGGTCCTTTATAGTAGCACACAAAATCCACAATTCCCTGGGTTCCCATTGTGCATCAGGGCGCAGTAACGCTGGAGGAAGGGACTCTTTCTGTCAATCCCAGACAGTAAGAACAATGGAATGGAAAGCTACCTCCGCAGGTCGTTTTTCGCCTGCGGAACGCCGTTTTTGAGTTCTCCAGGCTCAGGGGGGACAAGAGAGGAACGGACGCTCGACCCGGCTGTTGCCTGGTAACGCCCGCCGGAGGAGTCCCTTCGTAATAAGGTCCCGCATTAAATGTCACTGGCCCAGAGTGGGACCCCGTAGCTCGTTCTTTTTGTGCAGGCGGCCTGTCCCCGCGCTTTGGCGGGCTAGGGTAGGGGAAATGTTGCAGGAGGAGTCGGATCTGTCTCTCATTATTGCTCACATAGTCCAAAAGCTCAAAAGCTCCAATTTATACGCTCAGCTGGAGCGGCAGGCCTGGGTAAGTGAGGCCGGGTGGGGAGGGAGAAAGCCGGGTGGGGCGGGCCGTGGTGATGCCGCATCTCCTACATCCTCCAGTCCAAGAAAGCATCCACCTCCGATCTCTCTGGCTCCGCTCCGGTGCACGGGAAAAAAATCTCCCTTTCTGGTGCTGAGCAAGCACCAGGTGTGTTGAAACTAGATTATTTTAAAGGTTGGGGTGCATCACGCCTTTCTTCAGCTTAGAGAAACGCAGAGACTATTCATGGATCGATTCGTGCAGTCATTTACAGAGCCCCAGTTTTTTAACCGCTGGAGTCAGTGAAGGTAGTTTCGGACCACACCTTCCCTCACTTTTTCCGTCCTGTGAGTGGGTGTAGGCGTTCAGGTGCTTTTTGCCTTTGTGTCACTCTATTATGTCCTTCCTGCATTTTACTCTCCCTTTATTTCCTCCTTTATCCGCTAACCCTGCATCTGTTGAGTATTTTCTCGTCAATCAGACTGTCTTTGCTTTTTTCTCCTGAATGTCATATAAAGGGAATCAAATAGTGTGTAGACTTTCAAGCCTGGTTTCTGTCACTTAGCATAATGTTTCTGAGATTCGTCCTTGTTGCGCATGTCACATCTTACTTTTCATTGCTGAATAGTATTCCATTGTTGGGACGAATCGCCATTGATTTATCCATTCATTGGTTGATGAGCACTTGGCTTTGTTTCCGGTTTTACAGATTATGAATAAAACGGATGTAAACATCTTTTTAAGACTTTAGATAGATTCTTTTTTTAAAAAAATGCTTTATTGGGAATTATGTGATGGTTTACATGAGAGGACATTAGTTTTACATTCATCCTGTCATATATCATTTCATTGCCGTGGTTACAATCCCCTCCATGCATCATCAACCAACCAAAGGGTATACACTACAAGCCTGCCCCCTGGTCATCAGCACACAGCCCCTCTCCCTCTCTGTGTCTAAAGTCCCCAGCCGCTCCATCTCTCCACGTCATCTTCTCTGTCTCCATCTCTGGCATCACTTCTTCTCTGGGTAGGGTCCCGCTCTCCGCTCTTCTCCACTGATGGTCCCAGGGACCTCCGCACCTAGGCCGAAAAGCTAATCACATCCCTCCTTGCTACAAAATGTCTACTTTTACATTTCCAACACTCACAATCAGTCCTGATAACAATTATTTACTATTGTATCACAAGAGACCTATCCGCATTTCATTTCATCAACCCCGCCTAGACAGATTAGATACTAATCAGTGGAGATTCTACCTTCCTTCACACCCTCTGAATCAAAGTTCCCTTATGAAAGCTTGTAAGCCAGTCACTTCTTGCCTTTGGAGCCCCCCTCCCCCCTCCATTTTGGGTAGCCAATGTCCAAGTTGCCCATCCCTGTCTACTCTGTGTATGGAGGGGGTGGTAATGATCCTTGCTGTCAAGATTTGTTCCCTCTTTTGAGCTACTGCACCCATGTTGTTGTTGTTATGTGCTGTGGAGTCGGTTCCGACTCATAGCAACCCTGTACAGGGTTTCCGAGGCTGTAAATCTTTACGGGAGCAGAAAGCCTCATCTTTCTCCCGTGGAACAGCTGGTAGTTTCGAACTGCTGACCTTGCGGTCCGCATCCCGATTCGTAACCACTACACTACCAGAGCTCCTTAGGTGTAGGTCAAGTTCATCAAATTGTATCAGATTACTTTTTCCTCTTCTTTCTTCTGGTTGAGCTCTGATCATCCAGTCATTGAATCCAGGTCAACTGGCTATTATCTGCAAGTGTGGGTGTTCTTGTGCATATGCCCTCTCTTCTTATCAGCTGGATGCTTCACTCTCCACTCTAGCCCTCTGTGGTTATGTCCCTGACTCTTGGCCCAAGAGTCCCCAGGTCTTGCCACACTGTTGGCCAACCAGGTCTCCACCGTGAACATTGTAGGGCTTAGCTCGCAGCTTCATTGCTGTTTTTCCCTCACTTCCCCTTATCGGTGATGAGCGTGGTCACCAATCAGAGCGTGTATTCCCATTGAGTCTTAGTCTTGGAAGGGGCTGTACACTGAGGGGACCTGACCACTTACCTTGATGTCTCCTGGGCAAGCAACTTGCTTGTTCTTGTAGTAACCGTTGGTCTGCCTATGTTGTTTTATATTTTTCCTGTAGGTCTTTCTTTCAAGAAGTATCTTCTGTTCTTCTAGCCGCTCCAGGCTGGTCTAGATAGATTCTTGCTTTAATTTTTCTTGAGTACATTTCAGGGAGTGTAACTACTGAGTTTTGTGGTAAATGTCTGTACAAGTTCATGTAAGGTGCCCTGGTGGCCTACGTCTTTGGCTGCTAATTTCAAAGTCCATGGTTGAAATCCACCAGCTGGCTAACCTGGAAAACGATGAGCTAGGAAACACTCACTATAAAGGTTCATTATGAGTCGGAGTCAACTTGATGAAATGAGTTTGGTTTTTGTTTTTGCTTTGTAGTAATTGTATGTTTAATTCTACAAGAAGCTTTTCAAAGTGGCTGTACCATTTTGAATGCTCACCAGCAAAATGCATATTTCAAATGCCCTGTGTCCTCACTAGTGTTTGGTATTGTGGGTTTTTTAATTAATTTGTATTGATTAACTCTACTCCTCTTGTAGGGGTGTAAGATCACATTTTAGCTTTAATCTTATTTCCCTAATGACAGTGATGGTTGAACATCTTTCCATGTGCCCATGTTCTTGCATCCTCCCTAGTGAAGTTGTTCAAATCGTTGGCCCCTTTGAAAAAACTTGTATTGTTTATCTTGTTGATGAGTTGCAACAACTATACATGGAGTAAGTCCTTTATCAGATATGTATTGCAAATATTTTCTCTTGAGCTGTGACTTAGTTTTTCATTTTCTGAACTGGATCTTTCACAGAATAAAAGTTTTTAATTTTGATGACATACTATTTATCAATTTATTTCTTTATTATTCATATTTTTTTGTGCCCAAGAATCATTACTTAGCTCAAGGTCACAAAGAACTTCGCCTATTTTGTTTTTTCCTAGATATCCCCCCCACCCCCTGGCACACACACATGTTTGCAGACTCCTTGTGTGGTGCTATAGGACCAGCACTAAACTGTAAACCCTAGTTGGCAATTCAAACCCACCAGCTTCTCCTTGGAAATCCTCTACAGGGTCTCTATGAGTTAGAATCGACTCGGCAGCACTTAACAACAACAAAAGATGTTTATACTTTTAGCTTTTACATTTAAGTGTATCATCCACTTTGATTTAATTTTTATATATGATACAGGTAAACTTGTTTTGATTTTTACATGTAAATGTCCAATACTTTTGGTATCTGTTGGTGAGGCAGGGTATATTCCAATACTGTCCTTTTTCCCTCGAATTCCTTGGCATCTTTGTTTAAAATCAGTTGAATATATATATGAAATAACAAAATCTCCCTCTCTCTCTCTCTCTATCTATACAAACACACACACATATGAGGGGCTTCAAAGCATTCTTGGAAGCATTTCATTATCTTTTAATTCCATGTTTCTATAAACTTTTGGAAGCCCCATTGTACATTTAAAACTATCTCTGCACTTTCTGTACTGTTCCATTGATCTCTTTGTCTATCTGCATGCCATTATCACATTGGCTTTATTTTTATAACTTTAGAGTAAGGAGCACTGATAGCATAGTGGTTACAAGTTGGGCTGCTAACCTCAAGGTCAGCAGTTTGAAACTACTAGCCAGTCTTACTGGAAAAAGCTGAGGCTTTCTGCTCCTGTAAAGATTTCACTGCCTCGGAAACCCTGTGCAGGGTCACTATGAGTCAGAATCGACTCCGTGGCACACCACCACCATCACCACAACCATACAGAGTAAAACAAGAAATCAGCTTCAGTATAGTGGTTATGAATTGGGCTGAGAACCTCAAGGTCAGCAGTTCAAAACTACCAGCTGCTCCATGGGAGAAAGACGAGGCTTTCTGCTCCCGTAAAGATTTACAGCCTCGGAAACCCTGTACAGGGTTGCTTTGAGTTGGAACTGACTCCATGGCACATAACCACCACCACCAGCACATCTTTGCAGGAGCAGAAAGCCTCCTCTTTCTCTTGCAGAGCGGCTGGTAGATATGAACTGCTGACCCTGTGGTTTGCAGCCCAGCTTATAAGCCACTATGGTACCAGAGCACCTGCAGTGTTGTACAGATGCTGTTTATCATATAGCTTGACAGTGTATTTTTCTGTTCCCCAGATGATAATCAGTTGTCCTACTGAAGGATATCTTGGCTGTTTCCAAGTTTTGACAATTAGGACTAAAACTGCTAGATCTGCTCATGTGCAGGTCTTTATGTGGACATAAAGTTTCAAATCATTTGAGTAAATACTAATTGAGACTGCTGTAATATATGATAAACCTATATTTAGCTTTGTAAGAAACTGCCTAATTGTCATTGGTGGTGCATCAGAGTTCCTGTTGCGCCATGTTCTCATAATTTGATACTGGCAGTGTTTTGGTGATTCTAATGTGTTCTGCTGTCCTGTCTATTTCATTCACAGTGGCCTCTTGTGGCAGAGAGTAGAACTGCTCCATACTTAGTGTTTTTCATCTGTAACCTCTACAGCAGATCACCAAACCTTTCATCCATAGAGTCCATTTGGTTAGCAGCTGAGTACTTAATCATTGTACCACTGGGGCTCCTTAACCTTAGATATACAGTAGTATCTTATTGCTCTTTCAATTTGCAATTATCTGGTGACACATGATACTATCACATTTGCTACCTGTATTTCTTTTTTGGTGGGTGTCTGTTCACATTTTTGGCCTATTTTTAAAATTAACTTGTTTGTTTTCTTGTTGAATTTTAAGAGCGCTTTGTGTCTTAAGGAGACCTGCTAGTGCATTGGGTTAAGGAGTGGGCTGCTTGACTGCAAGATTGGTGGTTCAAACCCATCAGCTACTCCTTTGCAAAATATGAGGCTGTCTGCTCCCGTAAATATTTACAGTCTCGGAAACTCTTTGGAGCAGTTCAACACCAACATATATAGAGTCG